CCTTACGAGGAAAATATTACCACGCCTTTACGAGGAAAACTTTCCTCGTAAATTCGCTACAACCTTACGAGGAAAATGTCTTTACGATGAACGTGTTTCGAGGAAACGCGTTTCCTCGTAAGTTCCTAGTAAAAGGCCATTTACTAGGAACTAACGAGGAAAACCCGTCCTAGTAATGGACGAGTTTTCTTGTAGTGGTTATTGGTTTTCAATTGTCGTGATGATTTGGCATTGAGAAAGTCAAACATACTATTATCATGGATTTCTGATTTATATGATGAGTTCTTGATTTATATATATTAGCATAATCAAATTTATTAATTATGTTTTATTTTCTAAATATGCTGTATTTTTTAGTTTATGATGTAAATTAGTGTACTTTTCATTTCTTCACACATGTAAAGCTTAAAAGATTTAATAAAATTTTATAGATATTTAAAAACAAAATTCGAAACTTGAACATATTGTTGTTTGCGTTTCTTTCTTTCTTTTTTTACCGTGGTTATTTGGCTTCGAAAAAGTCAAAAAGACTATTGTTGTGGAGCTATGATTTATATAATTGGTTTTTGATTTATATATATTATATATATTAGCATAATCAAATTATTAATTATGATTTATTTTAAAAAAAATATGCTGTATTTTTAATTTATGATGTAAGTTTGTGTACTTTTCAGTTTCTTCACATATATAAAACTTAAAATATTATTAATGACATTTTATAGTTATTTACATGGAAACTATAGCCTTTTTGGAAGGGTTTCAACTAACAATTTTTGGACTATTGCGTGGGATGTGTTCTCACATGAAAACATTCTGTCTTCCTACGAGTCCAGTGATGGTTTAATGGGTAGGACGAACAGTGCACCCGTCTCAAACCCAACAAAAATCCAAAAATATTTAATAACTAGGAGTTAACCCGTCCTATGAACGGATGAATTTAGATTAAAATATTTATATTAAATATATTATAATTTTAAGAAACATTTAAATTTTAATTAATATTAAAAATAATAAATATAATATTTTTTCATTTTAAGATCATATTGTAAATTTTATTAAATTTTGTTGGTGTGAATTGAAAAGACCACGAACATTTTCTTTTAATAGAGAATATAAAATTATGAAATTAAGAAAATTAAAGAATTAAGAAAAATGTAATGATTTATATGTATATTTTTTCTTATTATTTCAATTTGTTATAGTTGAAGAAAATCTAAAAGTAACAATAACTATTTTTTTTGTTTTTAAGAATATCATATTTTAGTATTACTGCATTTACTAATTGTCTCACAATAATAAATTAGTAAATGTATAAGAGTCTATCGACAATTTATAAAGATCTATAATCTTTTTTAAAAAAGTTTATAGATCATTTGTAAAGTTTATAAATCTTTATAAATTACCTTTCAAAATCATGTAAATGTCATAAATCCTTATAAAATGATAGTAGAGGAAAAAGAATATGAACACAGCTTGGTTTTATTTTCTCTGATTGGATTGACCTAAATAATATTCCATATGTTTCAAATCTCCTTCTATATATCCTAGAGGCGTCAATGACCACATCTACGGTCTATGATGAATTCCATCATGGCACTCGTTTTCTTTTTGTTTCCGCTTTTCCCATATGGATCAAGGAGGATATTGAATGTTCTGAAACTTCCCATAACAATTCTCCATCATCTGTACTTGTCAGTTTCCACCAAAAAATTCATGGTCCAAGAATCAGACAAAACATGAATTATAGAATCTAATTTTGAAATATTAAATGGCTAAAGCTTACCGCTCTGGTCGCCACCAACATCAACGATACTAATACACAAGCAAGAATAATCCACTTTCACATTACTAATACCGAACAAGGATTCAATATTGTTATACAAAAAGTAGCTTCTTCATCACAACATTATCAAGAATCGGTATCTCATTTTCAAGACAATAGCTTTTATATCAGGTGCACCAAAAAAAAAAGCTTCTATGTCAAAGAAACACATACATTCACAGACATTTTTAGGACATTCTTCATCTTTTCATGGTGAAATCAAAACAGGTTCATTCAGTCTTAGAAACTTCTCTGAAGCCGATTCCCCATGGTAGTTCCTCCCATTTAGATTGTAGAATGGTCCGTTTAAGGCATTCAACGTGTGCTTAATGCGCAGTTCGATTATCTCAGTGACCTTGCAGTTTCCTTTCTCGAACTCGAGCTCAAATATACATTATCTGCTCGTTTGGTCTTCACTATCTTTACATCAGCTTGACTGCCTGTTATCTGCTCAAATATACATTAGTAAACACAAAAAGATGCCAGTATATAGATGATAAATCTTGATCCTTTTCACGATCAGTATATGTTCAAAACTTAGGAGACAACATACAAGAAAGCCCAATTAAGTAAAGGCAACACTAAACTCAAAATTCGTCACCAGGTTGGATTCCATTTTCACCTTTCTTGACCTGATATACAGACATAAAAATTAAGAAATTCCCACGGCAAGTAAGTTCTGTTGGACCTCCAAATTAAATCCTCCAAATGTAGAAAGTGTTGCTCTCTCTCTTGAATATAAATCATTCACATAATAGATTTACATAACACAAATGTAGGAACTTACCTATAATCTAACCTACATAAAAGTTCTGTACCTGAGTTATAAAGATGATAAGTGTTAGCGACAACGATGAAGAGTGGCTCAGTTTATGTAAAATTTGTCTCATCAAGCCGGCTTGGATACCGTATGAGCATCATCTTCACATGCTCCTGCCTAAGAAAAAGAAACATAAAACCGAGAGGAGAGAAATAAAGAGCTCGGGACCAAACTTATGGAACCATTATTAATCTCATATGAATCACGTTAATTAACAATAACATCAACCGAGCCACTTTGGATTAAAGTATCCACAAGACTAAGGATATTTGTTCGCATAAATTAGGCTGTCATAGAATTAAGTAGATTTTCTGTGTTAATATCTAGCAAGTGGGGAGTCAATAGCATGCTCAGTATGTACAAACACAGAAGTTCATGTACGCAAAGATACATGTTTTAGAAAAGTCTATATCTTTCAAATGCCATATGGTTCAGTAAAGAAAATAGTCATAGAGTTAAAAAAAACATACAATATCCCCCTTGTTTTTATGCTCCACACCCCGTGTTGTTTTCTTCACATGCGTCAGCACCCTATTTCTTCACAACATTAATAAGAAAACAATCAGAAGCAACCCAAAAATAAAACCAGTAATATCTCTATATTAACAAAGAAAACATTCAATAGCAGGACTATAGGAGCCATAAATTTTCCCAGAAAGATTCATCCTGCATCAGTTCTGGGCTTTTAAGTTCCAGCTATCTGGACATATTCCAGTCCAACTGAGATTAAGGCTTCTTTCCAGTTGTCGTGCCCAACATAATTTCCTTCTTAATATCGATATTTTTTCTTCTCACAAACTGTTAATCATAGCAATAATTAGCACATGATTCCTTAAGTCCATGTTAGTGAAGCATCACCTCAAATAGAATCTCATGATGAGAGCAAACATTCCTTTCTGATCACTCTGATTATTTAGCTATTTAATCAAAGTAGTGTTGCTACAGTTCAAAAAAACTTTATAACTACAGCTATCCAATTATTATTTTGTTTTAACTTTATTTATAAAAGAAGGTTGGAGAATCATCTACTGTCCTTTTTATTTTAATATTTTGAAAAATATTGAATAAAAAGGTTCTGATGAGTTGTCATCACTCATCAGCCGGCCCTCAACAGCAACAATTCAAAATCTAAAGATGTAAACGGAAACATAGAATTAAAAATATTCAGCAAAATAAATATATATAACCGCTACTAACGTTTAAAATGTTGATTTCTTCTTTTTGTAAAGTTGTTTTGAATCAGCTTTATATTTTGTACTATATTTTAATTTAAAGTTTGTTCAGAGAATAAAAAGTAAAAGCGTGCAAACAAAACCAAAAAATAAAAAATAAAATAAATTTGTATTCTCTCTCTCGTGAGAGGTCAAAGACCTAAAGACTTGTACTTTGCTGTAACATTTTTCTCTGTTCCGCAATAACGAGAAAGAATCTATAGAATCAAACGGAGCTCAATTTCAGTTTTCTATTTTTTTGGGTTTGTTTTGAAGATGCAACTCTTTAGTAGCTGTTGTGGAAAAGGATCTGATGGGTACGTTTTTGATTCCTTGACTCTATGATTGTTAATTCTCCTTTCGATTTTGAATTTTTCTGATTATTTTCTTTGTTGGGTTACTGGTAAGACATGTTCGTGGTTCAATCAGCTTTGGTGTTCCTTCGTTGATTAGGAGTTTAAAGATTTTAATCAAGTTTTGGAGCCTAATTATGTTCAAATTCCATGCCTTTACTTGCTCTTTAATGGTTTTCATGTAAAGTTTGTTTCTTTTGTTGTAAGTCCTAGAAAGAGTGTTTAATCATGAGTAGCAATTGATTGGTTTTAGTGTTTTCTTATCTCTTCTAAAACCGCTCTAAAATTGAATTATTTACCAAGTTTGTATAATTAAATGAGTGCTGTTATGCATTTCACAATTCTTGTTTCTTGATTTTTCTAATGAACGATTTAAAAATATGTTTTTGAGCAGCACTGAGATTAAGTTTGGTTTTGATGTCACATAGGGAAAAGGAATCCAAGACAGAAACACCTCGTAAGATCTTCTCATTAAAGGAACTTCACGCAGCCACAAACAGTTTCAACTACGACAACAAACTCGGCGAAGGACGTTTCAGCAGTGTGTATTGGGGACAACTCTCTGATGGCTCACAAGTAAACTCATCTCAACTCTTTAACCTAAACACTTTTATGTACAAACTCATTGTTGCTTTTATATAAAACATGAACTTGTAGATTGCAGTCAAGAGATTAAAGTCATGGACCAACAGAGAAGATATAAACTTCACTCTTGAAGTCGACATTCTTTCACGTATCCGTCACAAGAACTTGTTAAGTGTTCGTGGCTACTGTAATGAAGGACAAGAACGTCTTCTTGTGTATGATTACATGCCAAACTTGAGCCTTGTTTCACATCTTCATGGTCAGCATTCAGCTGAGTGTATTCTAGATTGCAATAAGCGGATCAAGATTGCTATAACCTCTGCTCAGGCCATTACGTGAGTCTCACAATTTATAAAAATGTTTGTCTTTAGTTTTCTGACAATGTTTTTTTTTGTTTAGCTACCTACACCATCATGCAACGCCGCGTATAGTCCACGGTGATGTGAGAGCTAGCAATGTGTTGCTAGACTCTGAGTATGAAGCTCGGGTTACGGATTTTGGATATGGTAAACTGATGCCAGATGATGAAGCCAAGAGTAATAATAATAACAATAATGGGTATCTTGCACCAGAGTGTGTTGCATCAGAAGCAGGAGACGTGTACAGTTTTGGTATCTTGTTGTTGGAGCTGGTTAGTGGTAAGAGACCAGTGGAGAAGCTAAACGGGACAACAAAACGGGGTATAACCGAGTGGGTGTTACCACTTGTTTACGAGAGAAAGTTTGGTGAAATCGTGGATCAGAGGCTGAAAGAAGAGAACGTGGAGGTGAAGCTGAAGAAACTAGTCTTGGTTGGTCTGTTGTGTGCTCAGAGAGAGCCAGAGATGAGACCAACAATGTCTCAAGTGGTGGAGATGTTAATGAGTGATTCAAAGGAGAAAATGTCTGAACTTGAAGCTAATCCTCTCTTCAAGAAGCCACATAGCGGCGACGAAAACCATAGAGAGGATCAGAACGGTGCAGAGGAAATCTCAGAAGAAAAAGATCTTCATCAACAACAACAAGAATAGGTATCTTTAGGCAAAAAAAGTTTGTTTTCTCAGGTTGGTTTTTACCATCTTTTGTTCATATTGTGGTATTGATTTGATTGATTGGTGTTTTAAAGGTGTGGTATTGGTATGTAAAGAGTTGTGATACTTTTGGTCTTATTGAAAGATTTGATACTTCTATTTATGTATTATACTGAGACTTGTACACTCTAGCACAATGATTCTGATCTGAACTACTTTACAGACTTTTTCTGAATCAGTTTCTAGTTCTGACTCTTGGAAGAAGAAGATAGGGTCAAAAAGTATAACAGAGAGAGACTACAACAGGAGCTATTATAATGAAGAGTGCTTGAGTGAGATTGGGTGTTGTGATCTCTGGGAACAAAACGCTTCTGTCTTTGATTATAGCTGCTCCTACCACAGTACCAGCTCCAAGCTTCAACAAGTTGTTGTTCAAGTCCTCCTGTACTTTTGTTAAATAGATCAATAAGAGACATTATGTAGTTTTGGAATTATTTGAGTCCACACTAAAAGTAAATAAAGCTTTCAACATAGGTAGGGGCAATTGATAAATTCTGATTGCTTTGAGCCTTTCTTACAAAATAATCATATAGCTTTGCTCTCTCCAATCATAATCATCATGCGTTTTCACTAAGTATAAAAGATAAAACCTGATTATATCATTTCTCAAGGATATTGCTTAAAACAGTTCTTGCTAGATTTCCTTCTTGATCTCCTTCTGTTCCGGCATCCCTGACTAATATCCTTCTTGTATGCGGCATTAGCAGCTTCTTCTGCAGGTATTATCCAATTGCAACACACTTGAATAAAAATATCTGCCAAAGAGTGTATCACCTCCATTTCCAATTTTTCTTTCATCGCTCGGCTAAACTCTTGTTTCAATTCTGATAGAGTCGTACGGAGAGACTTGTTCTCTTTGACAAGGACCTTTAGTTCTGCTTTCGATTTCACCTTCATGCTCTTTACACAAATTCTCAAACTCTTGTCTCTTAGATCATCAATCTGCTCCAGCAACATTTTGACATTCATGGGCTTCATCATGAATGTCAACAGTCTTGGTGAGATTCCCCGGGAATTGACATGACACCTCAGATTCCCTTACATGAGCTAATATCAGTTTCAATGGTATTTCTCTCAGGTCTCGTCTATTTTCGAGACAATCTGTTTTTGCATGAGCTATAGCAGTTCTGGAAAGGCAATCTAATTTTCCCTCTTTTCGCCACACTCTGTGATTAGTTCATTCATGCCAATCAGTCATAGTATCAAAATATTAGTAAAAAATAATAAAATCTAGATTATTAACAAATGCTATTTTTAAATTTCAAAATTTTATTGCTGTAAATCAACCAGTACATACAAAAACTCAGCTTTTTTGATATTTTGTTGATGTATTAATTTGTTTCTTTTAAAAGAATTAATTACATGTCAAAATTTGATTGCAGAGGTGAATTTAAGTGTGTTTAATATTGAAAAAAATGATATTATTTAATCTCCGCTGTATGTTATACATTCCCCCTCTCTGCAATCACACTCCACCGCCGAGCCTAACGTCTTCCCTTCAATTGCCGGTTTGCAGATCTGAGAGCATCACGAGATCCGACGAGCAGATCTTCTTTGCTTAATCTGCAAAGATGGTGAGAACTCAAATCTCGCATAGATTTCAATTTCATCTCTCCCAGATCTTAACTGAACTTCTTGCGATGCGATCTAGATTCCTGCATTTTATCCGTAGCTATGCGTGCGATCGTGGAATCCCAAAATGTTTGCTTAATTTTTCTTCAAAATCGCCGTTTCGTGTTGTAGTTTTTCATGAAATCAAGTATAGTCTCTGGCATTTTGGTTTATGAGATTGAGTTTTTGAGAAGATCTCGTGTTTATGGCTTCTAACGCTATCTATGGCGCAAGATTTGTACTGACTTTTCGTTCTGTTTCTCTTTGTTTCAACAGCCGCTCAGACTCGATATCAAGGTAATTGTTCATCTTCTTTAACGAAGTATACTGTGGAGATGATTTTCTTTTGTTATTAGGAACAGTTTTCTAACGTTATTATCTTATTGATGTGGAGATGATTTGCTTTTGTTATGTTTTCATCAGAAATAATTTGCTCAACGATCAGAGAGAGTGAAATCTGTGGATCTGCATCCCACAGAGCCATGGTAACTTGTTTGTTTCAATTTTGATTGTGCTAACTTGCAGCTTTAGTACATGCTATTGTATCTTGGATATGGTGATGGAATGGCAACTTATTCCCATGTTGTTGTCACAGGATTCTAGCAAGTTTGTATTCTGGAACCGTCTGTATTTGGAACTACCAGACACAGGTGGGTGAATTTTTTTTTGAAATTTTTTTCTCTGCCTCTTTGTGCTTTGTGTAATTGAACAAAACGTAAAGTAGGAGTCACTATAAGAGATTGAATGATTTAGTTGTTTATATGATTTCATGGAGTTTCTTCTAATCTGAATCTAATATGATTTTCCTTTCAGACGATAACAAAATCCTTCGAGGTGACCGAATTGCCAGGTATGATAATGATTTGACGAGCGTATTTTTTTGTTATATATTCTAGACTTGATGTTTATGGCTTTGTGGCGTTCGTTTCTGATACTGAATTTTTGTATATATGACTTTGCAGTTAGGTCGGCCAAGTTTATTCCACGCAAGCAATGGGTTGTGGCAGGAGCGGATGATATGTACATCCGTGTCTACAATTACAATACAATGGACAAGGTCAAAGTATTTAAGGCTCATTCGGATTACATTAGGTGTGTTGCTGTCCATCCGACCCTCCCTTATGTGTTGTCATCTTCTGATGATATGCTCATAAAGCTTTGGGACTGGGAAAATGGTTGGGCCTGTACTCAGATATTTGAGGGACATTCGCACTATGTGATGCAAGTGGTTTTTAATCCAAAAGACACCAATACTTTTGCCAGTGCATCGCTTGACCGTAGCATAAAGGTGTGTTAATTCCCCCCCCCCCAAGCTTAGATTTATGGCTTAGTCAACATTAGGCTCTTTAAAAAGTGTTTGGTCTGACTGTCTTATCATGCTTGTTCATCTTCAGATATGGAATCTTGGTTCCCCAGACCCAAATTTTACACTGGATGCTCATCAGAAAGGAGTCAACTGCGTGGATTATTTCACAGGGGTGATAAGCCCTATTTAATTACTGGCTCTGATGATCATACTGCTAAGGTCTGTTTCCGCTTATATATGTTATTTGTTTTTTATGTAGATCATTTACTAGTTGTGCTTTTGGAATCAGGTATGGGACTATCAAACTAAAAGCTGTGTCCAGACCCTAGAAGGTCACACCCACAATGTATCTGCAGTATGTTTCCATCCAGAGCTTCCAATAATACTCACAGGTTCTGAGGATGGCACTGTTCGCATTTGGCACGCCACGACTTACAGGTGTTTTTATCTTAAACCTCACTTCTGTCAGTAGAGATAACAGTGCTGATACTTTTTTGGGGGTATTTACCATTCAACTATGCCTTTGGCGCATGAGTTTTTTTCTCGTACTCATTTTATTGTAGGTTTGTTTTGTCTTTTAATTTGTCATTTCTGCTTTTATTTTTCAGGCTAGAGAACACATTGAATTATGCTCTCGAGAGAGTCTGGGCCATTGGTTACGTAAAAAGTTCGCGCAGGTAACTATTTGGACTTTTGCTTCCTCTATGTAGATTTGCTTTTCAGGAGTAGATTAAGTAGAATCTTTGACTCTGCCATTGTGCTGTTAAATTTCTTCTGAAATTGACTATTTGAAGAGCTAAGGGTACTTTAAAGTACCAAGAGCTATTAAGGGATCAGTGTTAACGCTGTATTCAGCTGAGCATTCACAACCATCTAACGAACATGTTTGACTTTACAGGGTTGTGATTGGATACGATGAAGGAACCGTCATGGTTAAACTTGGACGAGAAATTCCTGTCGCTAGCATGGACAGTAGTGGAAAAATCATATGGGCTAAGCATAATGAAATCCAAACTGCAAACATCAAAAGCATTGGTGCCAGTTATGAGGTCTAACTTCTAACTATAACTACTTTATTATAGCATGGCCGAACTTGCGCGACTAAGCTATTTATGTGTATTTTCTGATGATTTTAAGCTTCCGTCTCTTTACCTAGGTTACTGATGGAGAAAGACTTCCCTTGGCTGTTAAAGATCTGGGGACCTGTGATCTTTATCCACAAGTGAGTGTTATTATACAGCACCTTATGAAACTTGTCTTGTAGTGCTGAATTATTATAGGAGCCATTGGAAAAACATTCGAAGTTGTCGGTATCACTAGAGTTATGCTTCAGCTAAATATGATGCTTTAATCGTTCCTTGAAATAATTTATATTCAAAACGAACTGGGTAATAGATGATGGAAATTTAATTCTGTTTCTCACGAAGTCCCAAGAGCGTGGTTCAGTATAATCATCTCTTGTGTCTCATAAATAGCTATCATTCTAACTCTCAGAGCTTGAAGCACAACCCTAACGGGAGGTTTGTCGTAGTCTGCGTTGATGGAGAGTACATAATCTACACAGCTTTGGCTTGGAGAAATAGATCTTTCGGTTCTGGACTGGAATTTGTTTGGTCATCTGAGGGGGAATGTGCAGTTCGAGAGAGCTCGTCAAAGATAAAGATAGTCAATAAAAATTTCCAGGTTTGATATTCCCATTATGGCATTTCCAATACATTTTTGTTAGAGTCTGCTTCTAGGGTTGTCTGGTTTGTTATGCATTTTGTTATTGCTAGACTTTTTGAACCTTATTAGTTCTTCATGGCAGTCGTCGTGATGAGATCGTTGAGAGATTCCTAGAGACAATGTGTACGATCTAGTTTCGGATTGTAATCGGATTTGCATCTTGTATATACGTTTGCAATTTCAATAATGTGCATCACAGTTACAACACATATCACTGGTTTATTAATAAAGGTGGTGTTTTCAGGAAAGGAAGAGTATTCGGCCTACTTTCTCAACTGAGAAGATTTTTGGAGGATCCTTGTTAGCAATGTGTTCAAATGATTTCATCTGCTTTTATGATTGGGCTGAATGTAGATTGATTCAGCGAATTGATGTCACAATAAAGGTATTCAACCACTTAACTTGTCTCTGTTGTGGAATGTAACATTCATCAGTTTTTTCCTATTCTTTTTTATATTTTTCTTCTGTTGAAAGTTGTCCCCGTTTGTGTTTTATTCTAACTCTTTAGTACTCCCATGAAAAATCTGCAGAATCTTTATTGGGCAGAAAGTGGCGATTTAGTAGCAATTTCTAGTGATACGTCATTTTACATCCTGAAGTACAATGTGAGAGTCCCGCTCAACCTCAACATTTTCAGGAATATATTTTCATTTCCACTTTCGTGGATTTTGCTAATGCTCACTCTCGTGTTCCTCTCTATGGCAGCGTGACTTGGTTTCCTCGCATTTTGCTAGTGGAAGATCAACTGATGAAGAAGGGGTTGACGATGCTTTTGAGGTGCTCCATGAGAACGATGAACGTGTTAGGACAGGTGTATGGGTTGGGGACTGCTTCATTTACAACAACTCTTCTTCGAAGCTTAACTATTGTGTTGGAGGCGAGGTACTCTTTGTATATTTTGATTTCTTCAGAGATCCAATCATCTTTATAAGTTTACACTGTATCTTAGCTGCTAATATACTTACGACAGGTAACTACAATGTATCATTTGGACCGTCCAATGTATTTGTTAGGCTATATTGCCAATCAAAGCCGGGTCTACTTGGTAGACAAAGAATTCAAGTACGTTCCTTATTTCTATCTTTTTATTTCCGACAGTTTAATAATGCATTCAAAAAATTCTGATGTATTTCACCTTTTCTTTGGAATCCAGTGTCATAGGATATACTCTGTTACTTAGCCTGATTGAATACAAGACTCTTGTGATGCGAGGTGATTTGGACAAAGCCAACGAAATTTTACCTACAATTCCTAAAGAGCAGCATAACAAGTACGTTATAAGCTACTTTAGTCCAAATTTCTACATGTACAATTGTACATATTCAATAATGTACCACAGTTTATCTCCTTCTGCCACCTATGTCTTACGTGATGTTTTTTTTAGATTAGATTCCAAGTTTTCTTTTTGCAATTTACGAAGAGTATTGTTATTTTATTTTCCCTCTTCAGTCGGCATTTCACTATTTTGTGTACATCTCTCATATTTTGTCCTGGAAATACTTCCAATTTGTTAGTGTTGCGCACTTCTTGGAGTCTCGGGGAATGATTGAGGATGCTTTAGAAATCGCCACAGATCCTGACTACAGATTTGAGCTGGCCATTCAATTGGGTAGACTTCAAATTGCTAAGGTAAATATTACGTGATGATTGAATCTTAAGAAGTACTTTGACTGTGTTTTGTTAAAAGCAATTTGTTTCTTATCCTTGTTTTCCATGCTTGTAGGAAATAGCTGAAGAAGTGCAAAGTGAGTCTAAATGGAAGCAGTTAGGAGAGCTAGCCATGTCTTCTGGCAAGGTATATCTTCTCTTATATCATGTCCTAATGTTATGTAGAAGCTGACTATATCAGTCGATATTACCACATTGCTATTTTTCGATTTTACAATGGTATCTAAGTGATTGCATTGCATTTGTGTGTGCTCAATCATGATAGCTTCAATTGGCCGAGGATTGCATGAAGTACGCTATGGATTTGAGTGGTTTGCTACTACTATATTCTTCTTTGGGAGATGCAGAAGGGATATCAAAACTTTCATCCCTTGCTAAGGAGCAGGGAAAGAACAATGTAGCCTTTCTTTGCTTATTCATGCTGGGTAGATTGGAAGATTGTTTGCAGTTATTGGTGGAGAGGTATTTCATTAGCGCTCAAATGGCGGTTTATTAAAATCAAATCCATATGCTTTGTGTTATCTCGATGACAAGATTTTCTTTTCCTTCCAGCAAGCGGATACCAGAAGCTGCTCTGATGGCACGGTCTTACCTTCCAAGCAAAGTTTCAGAGATAGTAGCTCTTTGGAGGGAAGATCTGAGCAAGGTTATTTACTCATTTTTTTTATGAATTTTGGTGAATGAGAAAAAAAAATAATTATATGGCTTTAAGTTACTATTGACTTGTCAACAGGTTAATTCAAAAGCAGCAGAATCTTTGGCTGATCCTGAAGAGTACCCAAATCTTTTTGAGGATTGGCAAGTTGCTCTTTCTGTTGAAGCGAATGCTGTAGAGGCGAGGTACTCCACTCACTCTTTCACTTTGTTTTACACATTGAGATGGTTAATGTTGATAGCCTCATACCCAGGGTATCATTGGTTTGGTCAAACCAAGAAACTGACTCTTTGTTTATCCACAGGGGAGTATACGCTGCTGCAGAAGATTATGCAACCCAGGCCGATCAACCTTTCATTACCCTCGTCGACGCCTTCAGAAACCTGCAACTTGAAGCAGAGGAACCACTTGAAAATGGAGACAGCGATCACGAGGTAAGCTCTTCTGGGAGCTCTATTACTTTAAAAAATGGTTCGTCTGAATCATCTGCTAAGCAGCAAACAGCTTTATTCTTCACAGGACTTAGTTGAGTCTTTTTGTACAATGTACAGGTAGCAGAAGAAAAATGGTCATGCAGAGAATGAAGGAGGCGAAGAGGAAGAAGAAGTGAATCAAGAAGAGGGAGTTGTTGTTGATGAAGACTCTACAGATGGTAGTGCTGTACTTGTTAATAGAAGTGAGGGTGAGGAAGAGTGGGGTACGAATAATAAAGGAAACCAATCATCAGCCTAATTAAGCAAGTCAGTCCAGGATCAATGCTGAAAAATCAAAAGATTATATGTAGATTTTTTGTTTCTGAGTGATTCATTTAAACACCCACAGCAAATAAAAGTTGGCCGGTTCTAACATATCATCATCTCTTGCTTCTTTGATCATAATCTCGAGTTTTGCATGAGATGGGAGATAGGTTGTTATATGAGTTGTTACATCTCTGCATTGTTATGGCTAGGATCTAGAGACTTGTCTCTCTCAAACTTTTATTCATTTTGCACTTAGTGTGAACTAATCGTTTTGAATTTGTGTTTGTTTTGCAGTGCTTACGCCACATCAATAGCCAGTAAAGAGTACTTGGATCCATTTTGGATATGGAGCAGGGGAATCAGTTCTTGGTGGAAGATGTGTGGTTTTCTTTTGTGTTCTGAGGGCTCCCAGGTGGTGTTATAATGATCATTATATAATAAAGTACACAATAGAGAGCTTATTTTTGTTTTTACATAAATTTGCTTTTAGATTTTCTCAGCTCATGTTTTTACAAATTGCTAATGCATATATAGAATTCTTTGGAGACCTTATTTTTTGCTATGAATCTCAGTGAAAGGATGTAATGAAAACATCTTTGTAAGACATCAAAATAATAAAATTGATTGGAAAATTCTTAGATTTTAGGGAAATTAGACTGGAAATCCTAAAAAAAAAAAATCATATTTAAGAATCCAACTAAAAAAAACTATTATTATTACATTATATACTATATTGTTCTTAGTATTCGGTTAGTGAGATATCAAAACACTTTTTGTTCTAAATACCCACCACAAAGACCACCATCACATCCAGCTTTTGTTACCGTAGCCACTTCTATTCTATTTATTTCATTTACATACACTTGTATTATAGAAGAGTATGATCACTTGAATGACTTATTATTTTTGTTCCAGGTTGTTTAATATTCTATTAGATACATATGATTACTGGAAGCAATTTTAGATGTCTGTGTATAGGTAAACAAAATTATTATCTAATATATCATTCTATTTAAACTAATATGTAGTGTACTATACCATTAAGGGAGAATTTCAATTATACCACTTTGGTGATACTACTTTTCATGTTTACCATCAACAAATGAACATTTTCAAAAATATACATTTTATTAAAGGATAAAAGACTCTTCTATCATTGTTCTTTATATATATATATATAAAATAAATATTAAATAAAATATTAACCCTAAACCCTAAAACATCAATTTTAAACTTTAGGCCCTAAAAAGTAAATCCTAAACCCTAAAAATCAACCCTAAACCCTAAAATATCAATTCTAAACCTTAAACCCTAAACTCTAAACCCTAAAAATAAACTCTAAACCCTAAAAAGTAAACCCTAAACCCTAAAAAATCAACACTAAACCCTAAACTATCAATCCTAAACCCAAAACCCTAAACCCTAAATTCTAATAGTATTTTGACTATTAAAATTTTAATGGTAAAGTTGGTTAGTGTAAAGTTGAAAAGTGGTATCTTGAAAGTGTTATTTTTGATAATTTTCCTACCATTAATATGTTCTATTCTATATATTTCATCTCTTTTTCAAAAAAAAATCACAATAATTACATGATCAAACAACAAGCATTTTTTTTTTGAAAAAAAATTAAATTTTGTTCAAACAAAAAAAATTGTTACACAAGAAGTGCTTCCTCTATAAATTGGATACAAACCAATTTAACACAAAACGAACTTAAAGAGAGCAAAACAAAACATCATAACACCTCCCCTCATGTTTAACCATGAGAAACAAGTCAAGCAATGGAAGGGACATAACATTATCCTCATTAAAACCTTATCAAAGTAAATCTAAATGAGACAAACCTTCAAATAAACCCAAATGAGACAAACCTTCAAAGAAGAAAAAGAGTAATAATCTTATAGCCAGGAAGGTGTATAGATGAACCTTGCCAGCAGAAAACCAACCTATTCTTAAAAGAACACTGCAAACAGAAAGTCCAAGTTATCTTCTCTCAAACCATAGGGCCATGGTCTTCTCATACTTTCTTCCGGGCATCCTTTAAAGAGAAGTAACTATATTCTTAACCAGCTTGTCTAATCTTGCAATCAAACAACTAGCTGGCTGGGATGATTCACCAATCCTCCTTACATTCCTCTCATGCCAAATCTCATAGACAACGGCTTGGAAGCAATATCTCAAAAGGAAAGTCAAGTCATTTTCATGAAGACCATTCACCAATGTCTGAATCACCTGAGACCATTGATGCAAAGTTCTATTACCCGCAATACCTCCAATAGTGCCATACCAAACTTCTTTAGAAAACGAGCAATCAAAAAACAGGTGATCTCTTGTTTCAGTTGCCGAATTACAAAGCCAACAGGTAGTGATAGCTTGAGGGTTCCAGCAAAGCATCCTATCACCAGTAACTAGCCTGTTGTGAACTGAAATCCAAGCTATAAGTGAGAATTTTGGTGTAGCTCCCGAGAACCAAATACCTTTATACCACATCACCTTTGGCGACTTAACTCTAATAAGTTCCCAAGTATGTAACGTGAGGAAGCTCATTTTATAATCACCATTGTCTCTCTTCCAAAGACAGGTATCTTCATGCGCATTGAGACCTCTGCTTTTTAAAGACAAAATCTCATACTCAATTTTCTGAAAATAGGATATCTATGCCTTCTAGCTCGATAGATTTGAACAATCCTTTCTACCTTAGTATTCAAAGGAATTCCAAGGATAATGCAACCTCTTTCACCCATTTTTTCAATCATAACAAGCATCACTATAATCATAATAACATTTGCTATAAAATATCACTATTTTTTATATCTGCTAGTAGTGTTTCTATCACTTGGCTCAGAATATAGAGGAAGATATGGCAAAGAGATCAGAACCGAAGGAGATTAAGCTCCTTGTCGCTGGACTCCACCGTGCCAAGATTGGTTTATGTGCAATGTTGCCTTAGAATGGGTCAAAGAGAAAAAACTTATGGGTGTTGTTTGGGTGTTGTGGAACCATAGAGGAGTGGTGATTAGCCATAGCAGAAGAGCATTCTCGGAGATTGAAAATCTGGAGAAGGCTAAGTTCATCTCACTCTTATGGTCTATGGAAAGAATGACCAGTATGCACTACAATAAGGTGATATTTGCAGGTGATTTTAAAGAATTATTCCTGGCAGTACATAAACCCCACCATTGACCGGTGTTGAGACATGAAGGCGAGGACATCAAGATCGTTCTTGCGCGTTGATTGATGAGTTTAAACTTAAGTGTGTTAGACCAGAGCCCGGAGGAGAATATAAGGGTGGCTTTCATCGCTCAATGTGTGACAAGACATGATAGGATTCAATTCATGTGGCTTAAGGCCATCCCGCATGGCTTTTTGAGTTCTTTTTCAATGAAAGTCGGTTCCTCCAATACTCCTTTCCGAGGTTATGTTTCTGAACTCTGGTTAGTGTTATGTGATCAGTAATTGTGTGTCTTGTTGTTATGACCTTTGTGTGTGCCTATTGAGATTGATGAACTGATCTGACTGTAAGTTTTCTTTGATCAATATATTACTTCAGAAGGCAAAACAAAAAAAAACGTGTCTTTCATAACTATCACTATCATAGTCACCACCATAGTCGCTGTAATAACTACCACTATCATTGTGGTAACTACCACCAAAACAGATTTATCTATGACTTTTTTTTATTTTATTTTAACTGTCAACCTGCTTAAACAAATTAAACAGAAAACAAAAAATATATCACCTAATAAAGTCAAAATCATAAGTATAGTTTTAATATTACTTCTAAATTGGTTAGTGATCAAATTATTTCCAGATTTTATTAATTATTTAGAGAAGTAAAAGAGGAAAAAAAGAGATCCAAAAATGAAACTGGCGAACATGGACAAGAAAGGCATCATATTTTCTTGTGTGAATACTGAATAGTATAAGTGAAGCAGATGTGGTTGTGTGGAACAGTATGATCAAAGGTTGGTCAAGAGTAGATAGTGACAAGGAAGTAGTTGGAATATATTTGAAATTATGTTGAAGGAAGGTGTGACCCCTGACAACTCCCGGTTTTTCTCAACGGTCTTAAGCCGAATGAAGCGTTGGTTTGTGGTAAGAAGCTGCTTTGGCCAAGGTGAGATATTTGGGATTAGGTACCTTTATATGTACAGAATGCTCTTGTAATGTGGACTAATGGAAAGTGGCGGAGCCAGCAGTTGATTTGACTGGGGCCAAATTTATAACTAAACATATTTATAAGGGTCAATAAGTTAATTTTGTGGTATATTTTTAGATACCACAAAATTAACTTATTGACCTTTATAAATGTGTTTAATTATAAATTTGACAAAAAAATTTTTTTACAAAACTTCACATGGGTCATATGACCCCCTAGTTCCGCCACTGGTAATGGATATTGGTCGTGTGTTTTCGACAAGAGATGCAAAGAGGATGTGTTTTCTTGGAACTTGATGATCTCTGGGTATAATACGATGAAGCAATATTGACGAAAGCTTGAAAACATTTGGCGGAAATGGAGGAGAATATAAGAAAAAGATTGTGTAATCTAAGTAAAAGTTACATTCTTTGCACAATGAATGGCTCTGATCAAGTACATAGAAGAATCAAACAAAGACAGAGTGATGAACAAACAACACACGCTCACATAATAAGAAGCAGAGAGCAAGGAGAAAGAGAAGACATTTACATTGCATATAATGATGAATCTAAGCTTAAGAGCCATTTCCAGTTAACAGAGTCAGCACGTGCTTAAGGAGAGTGCAGGAGGTTTCTTTGTTCTATTTCTTAGTTAATCAGCACGTGCGGACCCGCTTTGCTGTGTATGATGCATCCCTCCACCGTACACGTGTCCTTGATGAGGATGATGCCCCATCGTCATAATCCCACCGTACATCCCTCCTCCCGTCGTCGCACCTCCTCCACCATTATATCCACCTCCCACTCCACCGCCACCGCCGGAGCTTCCATTTCCTCCGCCGCCGCCACCTTCCTTATCCCCCTGCCTCCCCGTCGTCGTCCTCTCCCCTTCCACCTCCCTGTACTTCTGCAAGTAAACCTTCAACGGCTCCACGTAGTCCTCGAACCCTAACGTCGTCATCGCCCAGAGAAGATCGTCGCCGTTGATCGTCTTCCTTTTCTCTCTCTGACACTTATCCGACGCCTCTCCGGTGACGAAGCTTATGAACTCCGATACGCACTCCTGGACCGTCTCCTTCGCGTCCTTTGAGATTTTCGCGTTCGCCGGCAACGCTTTCTTCATTATCCGACTCACGTTCGCGATCGGGAGGAATCTGTCCTGCTCACGCGACGACGCGCTGCCTCCGTCCTTGTGGCCGCCTGAATCGTTGTCGGAGTCCGCCATCGGAAACGGCGAACGGTGAATCGGAGGTTGCGGCGAGAAGGAGGAGAAAGAGAGGGAGAGAGTGGTTTGGGTCCGTTGGATCGAGAGGATAATAATTAGATGATGATGACACGTGGGTAGTTATAGGTCGTTCGTTTCGTCGATAAGGTTGGTTACACGTGTCGGTGATCTCATCCGTTGGATATAAAGAGGGATTTGTGCGGAGTCCACCCACGGAGTAGGATATGGTTGTAAACACAGAGTGGAGAATCCGGGGGATCCTCACCTTATCTTCTCCACAATATTTGAGTGAGTGGCTTTTAATTTTTCATTAACAAGAAGATGGTGGACTAACCTCTAATTAGTGTGGTTGATTTGTTTTTAATAAACTTTAGTTACAAGTGCTTTTTTTTTTTTTTTGGTAAATTCTTTTAGTTATAAGTTGGTGTGGACATTTGTAACTGCATACGATGTAGAAGAATCTAAGAGGTTGATTGTTTTGTAGATTCTACACTAGTCAATCGAGATTTCTAAAAAATTGATTCCCGGGAAACAAAAACATTTTCTATAGCCGATCAACCAGGGAAACCAGTTTTTACATGCTATATTAATTTTTAAGTGAAAAAACAAAATATATGTTTTTTCAAGTAGAAGAACACGTAGCTTCTTATATATACTTTCTAAGCTTTTTGTTAATATTAATATAACATGTATCAATCAGCACTATGTGTATATATTCTAAAGTAATTGTATTCTTATTTTATACATTCTTAAATAAATTTATGATTTATATGTTTAGAAAATATTTTTATTTGTCAAAATATGTAAATTATTAAACATTTAAATTGTAAAGATATGAAATTTAATTATTTGAATATTATTAATTCTGTTTTTTTTCAAAAACTATTTCTCATACAATCAAAATTTAAACACACAGAAAATAATAAATTTTTAAAAAAATATTGCCATTAAATATTTAAAATTTAAAATAATGTCTATAAGAAAATTTTCTAACAATATTTTTTATAATTTTTCTACGTTATATATATATTTAATGATATATATTTTATTATAATATAATTTTGGGCGATTCTCTTAAATAGTCATCTTTTAAGTTTTTTATCAAAAAAATAAACCTTAAAAATTAAAAGGACCAAAATAACATTTTTTATTTTGAAAATTTTAATTTTTTTTTTTTAAAAATTTGAAACTCTATCCCCAAAACCTCACTCCTCAACTCTAAACAAAAAAGTCTAGGATTATTTAACCCAATGGATAAAATGTATATTTAATAAAACATTTAAGTGTTATTTAAATCATTTTAATTGTTAAGGTCTATATATGTGATAAAAACTTTTTAGGTCTATTCTAGTCATTTTCTCTATAATTTTTTATAAAAAAATATACTACTTAAATAATTTCACTGATTTTTATTTTGAAATAATTATCAAAATATGTTATTGATATGTATTGTATTATTTAAAGTAAGAGAAAATTGCATTTTAAATACTAAAGTTGGCAAAAATTTGCACTTTAAATCTTGACGTTCATCATCTAACACTTTAAACAACGAAAGTAATTTCAATAACATATTGAACATTGAAACTAACTAATTTGTACGTCACGTTAAAATTATGACCAATACTATTCCTTAACATGTCAAAATGATGAGGTGGCACTCACTTTTTTTTTAAAAAAAATATCTTTTAATTAACAAATCAATAAAAACGATTTAAATAAATAAAAATAGATAAAAGTTTAAATAAAATAAATGAAATTATCTTAAAAAATAAAAAAATTACTAAAAAATTTAAAACTTATAAAAAATGTATTAAACTACAAAAAAATTCTTAAAAATAAAATAATAATTAAAAGAAGTTCAAAATTTAAATATTCAAAGAATTATAAATATATAATTTTCATATACTTCAGGTTTTAAAGTTTAAAAAAATTTAAAATTCTTTTAAAAATATAATTTTATTAAACTTGAAGATATTTTGTCAGTTTTATTTTTTAATGATAAATTCAAATGGTCTAAAATGTGTATGCCAGAGACCATCTTAATGAGTTACTAATTTTTATTATTAAGATAAATTTGATAAAACTATCTTTAAAAAATAAAACTGAAAAAATTATCTTCAAATTTTAATAAAATTATCTTCTTAAAAGAATTTTAAATATTTTAAACTTTTAAAACTGGACTATATGAAATTATATATTTTATAACTCTCTTAATTTTTGGGATTTATTTTAATTTTTGAATTTATTCTAAATTATTATTTTATTTTTAAGAAACATTATGTATTTTTAAAATAACTTTTGTAAGTTGTAAAATTTTTAGTAATTTTTTATATTTTAAGATAGTTTTATTTATTTTATATTTACTTTCAACTATTTTTTATTTATCTTAATCGTTTTTATTGATTTATTAATTAAAAATATATATTTTTTAAAAAAAAAGTGAATGCCACATCATCATTTTGACTTGGTAGTGTACAGTACCGGTCACAATTTTGACGTGGCGAACAAGTTAGTTAGTTTCAATGTTTAATATGTTATTGAAATTACTTTTATTGTTTAAAGTGTTAGACGTTGAACATCAAGGTTTAAAGTGCAAACTTTTGCCAACTTCAGTATTTAAAATGCAATTTTCCTTTAAAGTAATGTATTATTTTTCAAAATAAATTAAAAATACAGAAAAACCAAAAATCAAAAATCAAAATCCAAAAACAAAAAACCAAAATCAAAAGCTAAAAATTAAAAAAAAAACCTGAAAAATCAAAAACCAAAATCTAAAATCTAAAAACTAAGATCTAAAAACCAAAAACTAAGGTGATGACTGTTTCTTAGTTTTTAGATTTTAGTTTTTGGTTTTTGGTTTTTGATTTTTAGATTTTGGTTTTTAGTTTTTGATTTTTGATTTTGTAGTAGATTTTGGATTTTCAAAAAAGCATGAATGGTTGTTTTACATTTTGGCTTTCAGCTTTTGGTTTTTGCTTTTTAACTTAACAAATAAATTTTTTATTAATAATATTTTTTTGCTAAAAATATATAAATATAAAATACCATCATTAAAACACACATAAAATTATTTAATAAAATTGTTTTTAGAAAATTGGAAATACAAAATAAAATTATCGTGAATCCCACAAAGATGCAAAAATTTGATCTCGAAATGTGTTCCATATAGTTTGCTTGAGTGTTACTATACTCTTCGTCTTCATTTGAATCAGAATCTTCAGTTGGTATATTTCCAGTTGTGTAGTCCACATCAAAATCAACATCTCATAAATTAGATAGTCTTATAAAATTATGTAACGCCATTATTGCTGCAACAACTCTTCTTTGAACATGTATAGTGTATATTGGTTTCTCTCTTAAAACCCGTCATTTTCCCTTCCACATACCAAAAGTCCTTTCAATAACAGACCGTAGCGAAGAATGTCGTTTGTTAAACATTTCCTTAAAGCTAATGGGTGGACTAGCTCTATCGTATTGACTAGGATGATATTTTTCCCCTCTATACGAAATAAGAAATACAGGTCGAAAAGAATAACCAGAATCTCCCAAATAATACTTTTCGAATAGGAAATTGATGAGGCCCCTCCATTGCTAGTGCCAACACTTTTGCATCATAAGCTGATCCCGGAATACCTATATATGCATAGGTAAACAACATGTATATATTGCATATAGCTAAAATATTCATACTCGTGTCACTTTTCCTGCTCCAATATTTTTCTGAATCTTTTTCGGCAATAGTGACATAAACATGTGTTCCATTGTTTGCACCGATAAATCCTTTAAAGTAAGGCCAGTAGTTTCTGTTGGATTGTAACCTTGGATGAGGTTGTGTGAGCTTGTCTGGACTAGGTCTAAGCAAATGAACCGCCATCTTTTCGAGAGCACACAACACTTCATGGAATTTTCTACTAATAGTCTCCTATGAATGACCAAATATCTTTCCAATAGACCTCTAAGTTACATTTTGAGCACATATGTTCAGGAATATTCCAACACTTTCCTGGACAGCATCAGTATCATTCAGCTGATAATCCTCCTTAAGTTTTTTGCAGAACTGAATGTATACATTTGGATACATTCTAATTATGTTGTAGCATTGTACTTCGTGACCATGAAGTAATTCATATATGTATCTTCGACCACGTTCTGGATCCAAGTTCATTCGCCGCCTTGCTATACTCACAGAATAAGGATCCATGAATGATTCTCCAAAATTAATGCTTCCATCTTTTGCTTCGTCATCTTCAAGCATTCGGTAAAATGCTTCTTGCTAACAAAAAAAGTAAATTTATTAAAATAAGAAATATTATTTAATAAATCAATAAATAAAACAAAACAAAAAATAAATATTGAAAACAAACATGAATTTAAAATAAGACAAAATAAATTATTAAATGATTGTTTTTTAGTTTTCTTATTCTGCTTCTCGGTCGATTCATGTCATCCTTTCGAGATATTTAATTCTAGCATTATCATCGGGTAGTGTAAGATAAACACGTGCATTTGTCTCATTAATTTGAAGCACAGTCATTGCCCCCCAATATAACAAAGAGTCATGTTGAAGACCAGAAAGTGTTTGTAATGAGGCTATTGCACGTTCAAGCTTGTTATCTTAGGCTCGTTCATAAATTTCTGTTTGTTTCATGTAGGCCTCATTTGTCACGAAGTCATGTGAAACCTTTGTTGCTCCTCGTTTGCATGCTGAAGATGAACTACGCGAAGTGTTTCCGTACACCCGTTTGGAACTCTGATTGTAGGAAGACGATGTTTCATTTTGGTTTCCTGAAGGTGCATCAGAATCATCTTCTAGATTCACAGTATCGGTTTCATTCTCTGTAACCGTCTCAGACTCGGTATTCTAATCTACTCCAGAACCGGAATGGTACCCATCATTAGTTGAAATGTGTTTACCTCCAAAAAGTCGATCCAATATGTCGATATCAGTGAAGGGATGTGCCCGGAGTTTTGACGCATCAGATACTTCCTAAATAAAAATTATAAAATATTAGTTTATCATAATTATAATAAAATTGTGGAAACAATGGTCAAATATTACCTGAATGCGATCATTCCACCATTCGTCATCCATTCGAATAGCTTTTGTAGTTTCACAAATTGAAACTCCCGTCATACGGCTCAATTGACGATAGATGTCATACTTTTTTTATAGTCTAAACTTTTTATTTATTTATTTAGCAAACAAAGTGGATTACTAATTTATAGATAAAAGCCAGAAGAATAGTCGTAGTCGTAGTAAATACTAAGTAAAAACCAAAAGAATAGGAAGTATAACTTATACGTATAACACTCACCAATTAGTGCTTAGCAAACCAAGTCAAATATATTGTTGTATTACTGATTTTTGAATATTATTCTTATTTATTTATATTAATATTTATTAAATAACAATTTTAATAATAAGAAACAAAACCCATCGACTGAAAAACGACAAAAACTTAGCTTTTGGTTTTTGCTTGAAAATAGGTAGTTATAGGAAAAACTAGTTTCCCTAAATTTTAGGAAAACCTTTTCTCAAAAAACTTGATTGGATACATTTTTTTTTGGAGAAATTGCAATGTACACATTAGGAGAATACGATATTTAGCTAGATACACATGCAGGTATATCCTTGTTATTATCGTCATGTAAGCTGACGAAATTACCCCTGTGTTAGGCTTAGTTCGATTTGAAATAGTTACCCCCACATATTCTAGTCTCCACTCCTAACCAATCAGAATTACATGCAAAAGATCTTGTTTCAGACAAGTTGTATTTTTTTAATAATATTTCTGTTAAAAGTTATCTTTTGGCGAAAATCACACCGATTGAAAGATACCTCTTTCTCGTCTATTTAAACGCTACTGTTACTTTCGACATTGAAACCCATCAGACTCAAACCCTTTAATAAAGATCTCCACTAGTATCCCTTTCTTTCCAGATTCCCTTAGTAATGTCGTCGATCGATTTCCCCAAAAGAATGTTTGCGGTTGGCGAAGAACCCGTGGGTATTAGGGTTACCCATACCACAAACCTAAAATCATCTCAAAAATAATCAAAGCCTTAGATGAAGAAGAAATCGCTGTCATCAAACAATCCCCCTTTGGCAAACTATTGTCAATCTAAGAAAAACCCTCTTTCTCTGGTCGATTTGGTCGATTCATCATGTCCAGACAGTTAAAAACCAAGAAGAAGTACGAAATCTGGTTTCTCTTCGCTGGTAAACCTGTCAGATTCTCATTGAGGGAATTTTCTTTGGTGACCGGTCTTAACTGCAACAGATTTCCACCACAATCGAAGAAGAGGAGCAACAAGAACATGTCTTCCAGACCATTTTGGGGCAAACTTTTTGGGTCCATGACCGAAGTCTCCTCTAGCTATGTTATCTCAATGCTCAAAAAGAAGACTGTCACTGACCCAGATTTGAGGATAAAGTACGCGTATCTTGCATTGCTATCAGCGGTCCTTCTCCCCACATCTCACAATCCTCGAATCGTACATGGAGCGGATGAGGACATAAAAGATCTAAACACATTCCTCTCCTATCCTTGGGGTCGTGTTGCTTTTGAATTACTAATTGGTAGCATTAAAGAGAGGAATGAAGTCTCCCTTTCTCAAAACACAATAGCTTTCAAAGGGTTTGTGATGGCTTTACAACTTGTAATGATCGAAGCCGTCCCGTCACTTACCGGAGTTGTACGTGATGGTGGATCATCTGGTTCGGAAGGCGACTATGCGGACGAGGACGATGATTTTGTCTCAGATGGGGAAGAAAAGAAAAGCATCAATACCTTCAGGATTCGTGACATTGATGCAGCATGCAAGGTAACCTTTCGTTGTCACTTTGATTCAATCCTTTTTAATCCCCCCCCCCAAAATTTTTTATGTTTAGTTTTCTTTAATTTCACTTTGTCCAGGCGGTGGTAATTTCCATAATTCCTGCTGGCGATGATGCAATTGTCCCCGACAGTGAATGTGTCTGGTCAGACGAGGAAGAAGACGTCCTAGTTGAAAACCTGGTGAAGTCTATCGAGCAAGGATTCTGTTTTACCAAGTCCCATTTCACCGGTGGTGCTACTCACGCGGATGTTATCCTCATGCGCGATGAAGCCAAAGGGGACAACGTTTCCCGTAAAACTTCTAAATCCAACCCTAAACCACCTGTTTCTCCACACGTGGACGCCGATCTTGTGTCCAACATAGTGAAGAATATTGTTTCATCGGAGATGCTCACGATTTCTCAACGAATCAAGGACCTCACAGACGCGGTTAACAACTCGCAAATAACACTACGCAAAAGTGTCCAAGATGCTTTAGATGTTTTCCGGATGGACATTGCCAATCTGGTATGTACTACTTGCAATCGTCCTCATGTTCCAACTCCTAGTGAACCCGAACCAGTTAACAATTCAAAAGATAGCAATCAGTCGAGCGACCACCAGTCACTCGATCACGATGACATAATCCAAGACGCTGTGCAGTTTGCTAACAATATAAGGAGCGACACTGGAAATGTAAGTTGTCACTAACATGATCTCCTTTCAGTCATTGTTTAAAAAAAATTAAAACCAATAATTATTGTCTTCTTTTGCTATTAGGGGATTTTTGATGATGTTGATGTTGATGGTGGAGTGGATGGCCGCGATGGCGATAATCAAACAAATCCAAGAGCACATGTGACGGTATTACTACTCTTCGTTAGCAGTATTGTACCACTCTATACATTGTTAAACATTTTCTTATCCTGTAATCAACCTAGATAGTTTGTGTTATGCTTTTAGCAATTATTCAATCGGTATTGGCAGGACAAAGTTTCCTTTATAATTTTATTTTTATCCCATTATGGGAGTTAGTTTAGAAAATGTATCTTATTATGCAGTGGCTAGGTTCTTTTTTCCGACTCTGAAATTCACAAGCTAATAATTTGGCGTTTTTGAAAATGCAATTGTTAGGGTCCTTTATCTAAAACCGAAGAAGTCTTTGATGCAATTCCCAATTCAGATGTCCGTGCGACTGACACTTGTGTTGAAGATATTGTATAATGTCTTCCTAAATCATGTTTTTTTGTTTGCTTTAACCTATCTCTATAATATTATTTGAGAAGTCACTTTCTTAGGTGTCGCGCTCACGTTAACTCTCACGCTGGTTAATTACTATCATACCCCTAATGAATTAAAAATATATTTAAATATTATTATTTTCTTTTTAAAATCTTCCAAATAACAATATAAAACAAAAAGGAAATATTTCATAAATTCACAAAACTATTTAAAAACGAAAAATAAGTATATATATAATATGGTTTCATAAAAAAGGAAAGTTTACAAAATAGTAATATTTAACTTAAATATATTTTTAAATAACATAAATTATACCTTTTAAGTAATTATACTTTATATCTCTGTCTTCTTAGATGAAAAGAATATTTGTATATAATGTGTTTTCATAAAAAAAATTTATACAAATAATCTTGATATTAGAAAAAGAAATATTTTTTCTTTAAAAAAATAATTTAAACAATAAAATATATATTTTCAAAGTAATTAGTTTTTGTATATATCTATCTTTTTTATTAGATGATTACATAAAATAATTAAGTAACATAAACTGATATATGTTTAATTGACAAAAAGAAATTATAATTAGTATATTTATTTGATTATAATATCTTACCGTTACAGCAAAAAATATAAATTATATTTTACTTATATAATATAATTTCTCAAAAACAATCACATTTTTATTGCATATTTTAAAAGATATTAAAAAAAAACTAAAAATAAATTTAATGGTAAACATCTTTTGATCAGATAACTACAATTCTTTTAAAATATCATAACACTATATAATTTAACGAGGTAGATATATTATATTTTAATAGTTAAAATTATATGTTTTCGGTTGCTAAAAAAAAATTATATGTTTGCTTAATAACTCTTTTGATGTTTAGTTTTCTGTTTATATGTTTGTGGAATTTAATATAACCATAATCAAAATACTTAAGAAAATTATATTTCTTTATTTTAAATATTATTTTAAATAAATTTCAGTTTACCATTCAATCAATCTAAGGCATAAATTATTTAAAATTTCTAAAATATTTAATTATTGTAAATATTGATATGTTTTCATAAGCTTCTGAAAATTTATTATTACTTATGTATGTAATTTAGAATCAGACACTTTAGTTTTTATTTTTTTCGTTCTAAGCACAAAAAATATTAAAATACATAATCTTACTAAGATATACTTATATTTCTAAGATAACAACCAACATAAATGTAATTAAAACAATTAATAAAAAATTTAAGATATTTAGAATAAAAAAGATTATAGTTGAATTCAGAGAATTAGATAGAATCCAATATATATATATATATATATATATATATATATCCAAATGATAAACTAACTAAATATAATGTATCTAAAATTATATATAACTAAAATAATATAATATTATTAATATAATTATACATAAAAACTATAGATTAATATAAAGTTAAAGTAAATATCAATCAACTATTATAATATATTTATTTTACAAAAATTTATGCCCGTGCATAAGCACGGGAAAATCACCTAGTTCCTTATATGTCCACACACCGTTTAAAACTTTTGTTTTTATTTTTGTTTATAAAGGTCCAGCTTGTAAGCACTCCAACAGTGCCAGCCAATGTTGTTGACACTAACACCAACGCTAAACCTACCGGGAAAGAGGTTTGTATATATTGCGATGTTTTCCTGATGTTCCTTTTACGAACCGCTTTCTATACACTTGTCTTGTTTTTGTTAATTATGCTTCCTTCGGTTTGGCAAGGACAATCTTACTACCGGTCTTGAGTTTCCGGACCTCAGCTTTTCAATTGGCCTCACCCAACTCAGCAAATCAGATGCTAATGTTGATGATTCTGTCAACGAGGACGCACCCCCCCCCCCTCGACAAGGTAGACGGTTCACATGTTCCTAATAGGAGAAGCAAATGAGCCAGAGTCCTCCCTCGAATCCTAGTTGGCGATTATGAGTGTGACAAACGTACTCTCACGCGTGCTTGGGAATCATTTGTTAATGTCATTTGTAACACCTCTAACGTTGACCTTTCCGCGAAATTCGCCTCGTTATCTGAGAAAATAT